AATAGACACAATTACCAGCTTCGTAGGAGCATTGGGCGAGATTGCCAGCTGGTGAGTCTGGAGAGGTGGCCCCATGGCGCATATGGACCACTGTGCGGACCAGAATACAGTTGGAGATGGAAATGGAGTGCTCAGCACAGCAGCCGAACGGGGCCGATGGCCAATCGATGACCAACGGGTTAGAAGTAGACCAGACCTCGTTAGATTGCACCATATCCCCAAATTCGCACTTATGGTGCTGGATCATAAGTTTACACGCCTCGAGAGAAACAATGGCGTGAGTCTCAGTACGGTTTTCATACCGCGCCCCAAATAAATTGACCGAATAAGTAACCGACTGAGTAATAATCTTACAAAGAAAGGCCAAAGTATCATACCGTTGAGTATTAGGACGGTAGATATGAATAGAAAGCGAGCGAGGAGGCTCTGTTACACGTGGAATAATATGTGAGCAATTATATAACGTAGGAATACGAGCAAGAGCGTCAGATGGGTCCTGTGGACAAAGCCACGCCGAAGCGGGCAATGCCTCGCTCATGCCACAGCATAAGAGCATAACAATAGGCAACAGAGACTTAACTTGAGGCATAGGAAGCGATGCAGAAGAGGAATTAGAGTGATTCCCAAAAGCAGAGTTTGCCAGTTCTTCATTGCGACGAACCAAGGCATTAACTCTGGCGTCGGACCTTTCCAAAGCCGACTGATTTTCTCGCAGGGAAATAGAAAGAGATCGAATTTGTTCGCGAGCTTCCGAAAGTTCGTGATCGCGTTCACGACGAACAGGAGAAGCGAGATGGCGAGAAGAAATATTGGAAAAGTCGCGATCACGAGAGGAACCACGAAAAACGGACCCACCTGTGTTCCGGCGAGGGTCGCGAGGCGACGGACAGGCGCGAGAATAATGGCCAATTCCACCACAATTGAAGCACGTGGGTGCCGAACCCAGCCTGCGCGGCTGAGGCGGAGGATTTCCTCTTGTCCTCTGAAATGGGCGCGTTGAACCACGATTAAAAGGAACCGAAGGTTGAGCATATTGAAAACCCCTAGATTCCTGTCTTGGAGGCGCAGTCCGCCTTGGAGGAGCAGCCGCCTTAACCTCAATTGGTTGCGCCATCTGCGATGGGCGCATCAAGCGGTCAGCTGTGGCCTCGGCTAGAAGCTGCTCGACCATTTGGGCCCTGGCCACAGCTTGCTCGAATGTAGCCGGATTATCGAGCTTGACGTAGTATCGAATATCCGGTCGAAGACGTGCCACAAACTCCTCCAAAACACGATCTTTTTGGCTGGCCGTGTCTTGACCGGCCGTTGCTGCCCGAACTAAAAGTAATAATCGGTTAGCAAAAGTGGAGGAAGACTCACCCATCTGCTGCTGGCATGAAGATAGCGCCTGGCGTGCCATGTAGCGGTGTTGCGGACCCTCGAAGGACTTCCTCAAGTGAGCGACGACAGCTGAATAATCGTCGCGTTCTTCCTCTGAAAGTTCCTCGACTTTCTCCCTAGCCACACCGTCCAAATACCCTATAAGAAAGTAGGCCTTCTGTTGGGCAGTCCAAGAGGTGGACCTCATCCGCATGACGTCCTCCAAGCGGCGAAGCCATAGGGCAAACTGCATCGGATCCTCACCCGATCCGGAAAATGGAACTACTCTGGGTAACGGCCCATCCGGGCTCACGGTCGCGACCACTGGAAGCGCGTTTATGCGCTCCCCTACCGCCTCAAAAGATGGCGAGATTCTAGCGATCGAATACAGGACTGTGGGTCTAATTTGATTATCTCCGACCAGGGTTACGCTGTCGCACCTCTCACCCGGCTGCCCCGTTCCGCCAGCGTGGACGCTGGCATAGTGACATCCAACCAGCTGGCGGCGCAACTCTTAGCGGTAGAGGGATCCGTAGGGTCAGCAGTTTCGGCGCTCTTTCATCATGCTCTGTCCGCGCTTTGTGACAGAACGAACCTACTGGCCTTCGCTCTCCATACCTCGCTGGCCGCTAGTCCTACTCTTACCTTACGCAATCTGTTGGGGCGCGCCGACATTGCTGCCACCTCGCTGGGGAACGACCTGGTGCAAATTCATCGGTGCATGGCTATTCCTCCCCATCATTTTCAGCTTATTCCATTCAACGGAACCTGCTATTCTCAACCGCTGGTCAAAATCACCCCTCCCAGCGGCGAGGCGATTTTCTCGTTCCTCGATCCAGCTACTCTGGTCGTATCGCAGCGCGCCTCTCCAGCCGATTGCTCCGCAGTGCGCTATTTCTATCTTTCGCACGACGCTTCCTATCTTAGATTTGATTCTTTAACTGGCGAATCCCAAGCCCTACCGTTTTCTGGTATTCGTAGCATAGGGCCCCATTCTAGCCTCAACGCCTCCGCTTTAGCGCTTCCGCTTACCATCTTTCATAATTTAATCCTGACTAACCTCAGCGAACTAGTCCAGGACCATCAGTGGCAAGAATTGTGGTCTACCGTTTCGTCTGACCACTTCTCTCGCGTGAAGGTAACAAGTGAACACGCGCTTCCCGGGTCCCTTGGTTCACCATCATTTTCTTTTGGACCCTCATCTTCGGGTCATGGTCCTTCTTCGATCTTTGGATCGCCTTTTGCTGCATTATTGTATCCTTCCGCGTAATTAAAGCAGCTATTACTCTCTATTGTAACCTCTCTTATCCGGGCTGGTTGCCCCGTTTCCAAGAACATTTTTTTGAGCCAAGCTCTCCCTTCCTGCGCGCAAATGCGCGGCCCGTTCTGAGACCGTCCTTTACACCTCCGATGACGGTTACCGAACCAGCACCATCCCCCGTTGAGTTGGCGTGCGTCAAAATAGATGCCACCTCGTCGTGGCCACCGCGAGCCATTATGAGCTCGGTCAATGTATTATATCTGTCAGACCAGGACCGCTACTTTGTGGCCCAAATTCCAATTCGGGTCAATAATATTAGCGTGCTCGCACTCATTGATACGGGCGCTTCTATAACCATCACGTCGGTCGAAGCCATGCCGCTGTTCGGGGCCTTCGACCTCGCCAAAAGTGATGTAACCAGCGCGGTAGGCATGGCAGGGATACCCGTTCATCTCATGGGATATGCTTCCCTTTCATTTGAAATCGGTTCATTATCATTCAACCACCCGGTTTACTTTACAAAGTCGGCTTGCATTCCGGACGTGGCCGACACTTATAATATAATTCTGGGAAACGACTCTACTGCGCAAACTTCCCCCATGGTCAATCGATTACGGTAACCGCACCTTGCGAATGGCTGACCAACAGCTGAAAATATTATGCGCGGTTCCTGATGAGCGGCCAGCGCCACCCGATCAGCTGGTGGCGGTCCGCGTCGCCGAAACTACCGTACTCCCTCCCGCAGCCGAGACCTTTGTGAGGTGTCGGACGGAAGGGATCGATTCCGGTCCATTGATGTTGATCACACAAAATGAAAAACTTTCTGAAAAGTCCTTAATGGTAACTCCAGCTGTGGTCAACACGAAGCGATCCGCTTCTTTTGGTAGCTAATCCATCGCCCAAACCGGAAACTCTTTACAAAGGGCAGCATCTTTCATCAGCTGTTCCCCTTATTGAAGGTGAGTATTCGCTCCTTTCTACATCAGTAGTAGATTCTCCACAGTTTGTAGGAAATCTTTCTTTGAGGGCGGATCGCCCTGAAACCGAGACTCATATCTCTCCTTCCGACATTGATTTATCCCATGCGGAAGTATCCGAGGAGGAGCGCGAGCAATTAGCTCAGTTGTTGTATGAATTCAGAGATAGGATTTCTACAGGATCCTACGATCTAGGTTCCTATGAGGAGTCGGAAATAGTCATTAAGACCACGACGGAAACACCACCTACTCGTTTCCGTCCTCCTCGGATTCCGGTCAAATTCCAGAAAGAGCTCGACGACCATATCAATAAGTTGCTTCGCGCCGGGCGTATTGTCGAAAGCGACACCCCATGGATCCACAACACGGTTCTGGTGAAGAAGAAGGACGGTTCTTTGCGCGTATGTCTAGATTTTCGCCCGCTCAATGAGGTGACAGTCCCGGACCATTATCCCTTGCCGCGCATTGAGGATATCCTTGCAAAAATTGCCGGCCACAAGTTTTACACCACCCTGGATTTAGCATCGGGCTACATGCAACTTTTGCTCTCCCCAGAAAGCCAGGAGAAATGCGGTTGGGCAACCCATCGTGGTATCTACCAGTTTCGTCTACCTGCCTTTTGGACTCAAAAACGCGGGTGCTTACTTCTCCAGAGCGATGTCACGCATCCTCGCAGGTTTAGAAGCTAATTGCCTGGCATACCTGGATGATATAGTGGTTTTTGATAAGGACTTCCCCAGTCATCTCCAGTCCCTACGCAAGGTCTTCTACAGGTTCCGCCTTTATAACATCAAGGCATCTGGGAAGAAACTTACGGAAATTGCCCGTTCTCACATTAACTTTTTAGGGCATGAGATCTCCGGCTCTTCGTATTCACCAGCGGAGCGAAACATTCGAGCAATCCAAGAGTTCCCAACCCCCACGACAACCAAAGCCGTGAAGGGATTCGTAGGTATGGCGAACTTTTTCCGCAAGTTTATAGCGAATTTTGCCCTCATAGCTTCTCCACTATATGCTCTTTTGAAGGACAAGGCAAAATTCGTTTGGGGGGCTGAACAAGAAGAGGCCTTCCAACGGCTTAAGCTGCTCTTAGCCTCCAAACCCTGCTTGGCATTCCCTCAGGACAAGGAATTTTTCCTCCATACTGACGGTAGCCAGCATGCGGTGGGTGCCGCGTTATTCCAGAACAATTCTGACTTGGATCGCCAACTTGTTGCGGTCGGCTATTTCAGTAAGGCCCTTTCAGAGTCTCAGCAGAAATGGAGCCCTACTCACATCGAGTTGTTCGCTATTATAAGTGCCTTGCGCTTCTTTCGAACTACGATCTACGGGAACCATACCACAATATTCTCGGATCATCGACCGCTTACATTTTTGCTCAAGCATAACAAGACGCACGACAACTTAACGCGCTGGGTGGTTGAGTTGCAGAGCTACGACGTCACCATTGAATACCTCAAAGGTTCATCGAATGTGGTCGCGGACGCTCTCTCTCGGGCTGTGAATCCTAGGGTTCGGTTCCAAGACGATACACCAGAAACGGACGATATAGTGGAATTCCCCGTTAGCATTAACAAAGCTTCCCCGGCCATCTATTCCGTGCGCCCCACCGTCTGTTGTCTCGGTCCGCTGCATGCAATTCGACCGTACGATGCTCTTCAGGAGCAGAAACAGGATCGATTTTGTTCGGCGCTCCTTTCTTTCATTGAAACCCAGCGCTTCCCTCCCGAAATTACCGAGGATGAGCGGAGGACATGGCTAGCGATCGCTGAGAAATGCGTCATAAGGAAGAACGGTTGTCTTTATTATAACGACCGCCAGATGGTCACCAATCCATTCCGTTTCGAGCGATTAGTCGTTCCTGAGAAACTTAAAGAACCCGTCTTTTTGGCATTCCATACTAGCCCATCCTCGGGTGGCCATTTCAACTGGCGCAAAACACTAGCCAAAATTTCACGCAAGTATTTTTGGCCTCATATGGCCGAGGATATCTTCACGTTAGTGCGCACCTGCGACCCATGCCAACGAAAGCGTTCGAATTTAGCCAACCAGGAAGCACTAATACCAGTAGTCAGCGGGGCCATTTTCGATAAGGTGTACGTAGATCTCACAGGCCCGCTCCACACCTCAGAGGCCGGTAATAAGTACATCCTGGCCATGATTGACCACTTCTCTAAGTACGTCATCGCCGCACCGCTCCCTGATTGCACGGCGATTACGGTAGCGCAAGCTATCGTTTCGGAGTGCATTTTGAAATTTGGTGTTATGACTCAACTTGTTTCAGATAATGCCTCTTATTTCAAGGGTGAGGTGATGACCGAGATAGGACGGTTCCTACGGATTCACAGGTATTTTTGCACACCGTACCACCATGAGGGAAATGGTGCCTGCGAACGCATTTTCGCTACTTTCCATCCTATGTTGCGAACTTATATTAATGAGAACCAGTTGGACTGGGACAAATACGTGAGTGCGTGTGCCTTTATGTATAACACCTCGGTTCACACCAGCACTAACAACACCCCTTTTTTCCTCATGTTCGGACGCGACCCAGTTTTCAACATAGATTTGCTCATCAAGCATGATCTCGCCCGTCATTTTCCATCCTTTGAGGATTCCGGACTCTATGTTCAAAATTTGGTCGCGACCCTACACGCCGCATGGCGATCGGCAGCCCAATATAACGACCGCCAGCGTGAAAAGTTCAAGCGACAGTACGATCAATCCCACCTGGCCCCCCTCTCTATCAAACCAGGTGATCGGGTATACCTCCGCGACTTGGCACCCAAAGTGGGCCTCTCTCAAAAACTTTGCTACCCCTGGTTAGGCCAATTCCGTGTCATCAAAGTGGACCCTCCCCACTTAACCATCGTTAGCATTTCTGCGCCCCAAGTCTTCTCCTAAAAAGGTCCATATGAACCAGGTGAAACCCTGTCAGCTTCTATCTGGTCCAGTTTTCACCACTCCCTGGATCCCTGAGGTCGAGGAGCTGGCTCTCGCAGCCGTGGACGCTTCCGACGAACCTATAGTGGGTCACTCCCATACGGCGATTGAGCATTTGACACCGGAAACCTCGGCAGTTCCACCCACTCCGCCAACCCATCCTTATAACACTCGTTTCAGGTCGCGAAGAACTTCACTTTGACCGGTTGGTCAGAAACCACGAACATTTTTTTTCTAATGCTTGCTGTTCTCACAGCTCTAACTTTTTCTTCCCTTTCTCCGCTGGTTCGAGGCGAGCTTCTTTGTTTACATGCTACGCCGCGCCGATCATGCACCATCAAATGCCATGATCTCGCGTGCTTTGTTTTTTCTAGGATGGTACGCCCATCCATGGTGCTTAACCAACCCTTCACTTTTCGGTTCTTTCGTTTCGAAACTCATTCTCACCTCACTTCTCTCTTCTTTTGTTCGCTTTAGATGCTTCCATAAACTTTCCTTGTAGCTAGTTATTCCGTTGCATGCATTGGTGTCTATCCATATAATAGTGTGAGGCTGCTCTCGTTTTTTTACCCTCTTTTATGATTAAGGTTCTCGCACGGCGTACTTCCATTTTGCTGCACACGCCCCAACTCTCAACGATCGTTTTTCAGGTAATTGTTGAAACCCGCTTGTTGTTTTCTGTGGTTCGTGTGTTGGTAATGGACGACACGTCGTCACCCCCCGATCCGGGCGCTGCGCCGGACGACCAACGCAGGTATTCTTTAACTTCTAGTCGCGATGCGACTGACTCCATGAATATTTCATCTAGTCGCGATGCGGCTGAATCCTCGAGTATTTTCTCTAGTCGCGATGCGGCTGTCACTCAGACTAATTGTCCCGTCTCGGTCGAGCAGGAGTCCGCAATGGACACCTCCGAGACCGTTGCGTCCGATCTTCCGGAGGACAGGGCCAGTGCCACTGGTCCTTCTTTAGTTTCAGGTACTGATTCAGTGCCCACGGCAGCAGGCCAGGCCTCCGCTTCGGAGACAACCGTTTCAGTAAGCTTCGCTGAGATTGCCTCACGTAATACCTGGCACTCAGCTAAGTCGTCTTCGCTTGCTACGTCTCAGCGCAAGTTTCACAGTGACAAGCAGCTGCCCAACAAATCCGAAGAGGAATCGGTGGTAAGTATGACCTCGTCCATGGGGCACCTGTCCGTCACAGAGGTGGCACCCCTTAAGCCGCCACCAGCTCCGGTAGCGGCTCCCTCTTTTACCCCTCCGGCAAAAGTTATGCGCTCCTCTTCCGGCCAGCGCAGGCAGATTGCTGTTGCCCCTACACAGGTGAGAGGACGAGGTGGTGCTCGCCAGCCCCAATCCTTTCGGGGCTCTGCCCGAGGGCGCGCTCCTCCCTCTTCGAGGTCGGTAGCGTCTACCTCGTCGGCTTCCCAGCCTTCAACATCCCGCTCCTCTACGCGAGGAGCAGGCCCTTCCAGGGGATCGGGCACACGCCGGGGTCGTGGCGCAAAAACGCCTCCCCCTACCTACTCAGGGCCCTTACCGCAGGTTCACACCTCTCAGCTTCCAAGGGAAACGCCCAAGGGTTTCACCCACTACCTTATCGACCAACACCCTTGGGCGCACTTCGTCAACCCTCGCCCCATCCATTACCTGCGGGAGCACCTACCCACGGTCACCACGACCCTGGACACAGAGGTGTACCGCCACTTGCCGGACTCCGGATATCTGTCCGCACGGTTTAATAAATCGCTATTCCCGCAGGTGGTTTTTAAGGAGGGCAAGATTCCAAATACAATACCCTTCATTGAGGTACAACATTTGGAAGACACTATTGCTTTCCGCGCACGATCTAAGGCAATAATCGATCAACTATTTGCAGGTACATACCAGAACGAGGACGCTGCTGACGTGAAGCGATCTCCCCCTGGAGAGCATCGATATGTCACCGCTCCCCCGGTTTACGATGGTGTACATCCGGTATTGTATCAGGTCGTAGCCACCGGGTGGGGTACCGGAGTTATCCTTGAGGCCAAGGATTTCTTCATTATGGGACCTGATCGTCGCGATCTCCACTGTATTACGCTCGACCAGTTCGCGATCGACGTCTCTACAGGTGGTCGTGGTTTCAATAAAGCCTTGATTTCCATCAAGGATTTTGTATGGGTCTACAACGTCAAACCAACCAAACAGGCGTTGCAGTCCCCCACGACGACTCTGCAGCAGGCGTCGCTTCCGCGCACCACAGCCCTGGAAACTACTTCTATTTTCTTTTTCAGGGTTTCCCACTTCGCGTTCGAGGCCGTCAACAATCGCAGGGACCCCGCCTACGGCATCGCGTTGTCGCTGACAACGCGCTACACCAAGGTCATCAATGCGCGGGCCGTCTTCGAAGGCTGCCCTGAGGCGGTCACCATAACTCCGTCGATTTGCTCTTTCTCGCTGAATGATCTCGCCGAATACGAGATCGTAAGCGCTCATCTACGGGTCAACGTGTCATCCGCGACACGGTTCTGCGAGCCGCCCGTCTCTCTGGCAGCGCGGGCGCAGCTGGCTGGCATTGTTCGATGCTTCTTGCCTATGCACCCTCAAGAGGGTATTTTGCCTCTAGCTGTTTATAAAATTTCAGCGGCGGAGAACGAGTGGTTCTCTGACCGCTTAGGTCAGTTTAATAACTTTCAGCTTGACCCGGATGGGTCGAAACAAAGGTTATCTAAGATCTGCAATGCTGCTTGTTCAGCACTTCGCGGCCGTCAACGCGGCAGGCGACGACCGGCAGACCCATTGGGAGACCGCTACACTGTACACCCCCCTGTGGTTCCCCCTCCGCCTCGCGGTAACTATCACGAACATGGCATCGGAGGCGGGTTGGTCCCCTGGGAGGCATGTAGTTTTATGGGCACCCGGCTCCCAAAGCCTCATCTGGGTAAAGGTCGCTCAGGTCCACCCCCTGACCCAGCAAAAGGCCCTGGACGTCATCCTCCAGGCGTTCCCGTGGTCTCACGAGCTGCTCCAGCGTACCTTGGAGCAATTTGGTCGCAACAGGGACGAAACTCGTGTGATCGACCTTTGCTTCCGCCTGGGCAAATCAACGTCGGCTGCCAATCCGGTTTACGAACTCGTGTCACGCGTCGAGATTTTCGGCAACCTTATGCCGGGCACCATGGGTAACCAGGTGGTAAACATTCTCTACGCCAACCAACCGTTTGGCACTAGCGAAAAGAGTTACCTGCGCGAGTTACCTCCTCCATCTGATGAAGCTCGCTCTTTTCAGGTTAATGGACGATCGCTGACGCTCACGCCGGATCAGAGAGACGCTATTCGCATTGGCTCCGGCAAGCTCCCCCTCGTCGCCATACAAGCGGCCTACGGTACAGGTAAAACCCTAGCGGGTGCTTTGATAGCGGCACTTTCTACAGAACCGGAAGGTGTCGTTATAGTCACGACCTCCACGAACGCAGCGGTAGCGCAGTTCACGGAGACTCTGCTTTCTTTAGACGATTTTAGGCACTTGGCGATCGTCCGCCATATTTCAGACTCGGCAGCGGCGGATAATTTGACCCCCACCGCTGTCGATCTCAGTAAGGTCCTCAAGACGTTGGGTGAAACATTCAAAGATAGGCTTTCAGATGAGGATCGTGAGACGTGCGAGCAGTTCACCACGTACCGGCAGCTGATCGAGGACTACCTCGACCATCCCGAGCTGATCCCGGACATGACGGAAGAGGACAAGGAGGAATATGAAGTCGCGGAAAATTATGTTTCGCGGACCGTCAAACGCATGGTCCGCATTATGTTCGCCGTGCGCCCCCCGGCAGTCATTTGCATGACCACATCTTCCCTCCTTAACTCAACGGGGCCTGCGGGGATTTTCACGGCCTACGTCGACACTTTCACTATGGTGATTGGCGATGAGGCGTCCCAGATCCCGGAACCCGCCCTCTTGGCCATCGCGGGTAGGCTCAAAAAAGCTCGCCACTTGTACATCGGCGATGTACATCAGCTCGCTCCCCACGTTAAATGCCCGGTCACATCCAACCCGGTCCTCCATGGGGCTCGCAGCGTGATGAGTCTCTTGCATCACGCACCCGCAGTGCCGGTGGCTCCCTTGGTCACCACTTTCCGCTCTCACCCAGCACTCATTGCGCTGCCTAACTGCATCGCATATAATGGGTCTCTAGTCAGTGGTACCCCGGCGGAGTCCCGTCGCCTCCTGCTTTCCGCGATGCGTTTTCCAGCTCCGCAAATTCCCTTTATGTTCATCAACATAAAGGGGGAGTCTGCGCGCGCCCCTAGCAAGTCGCACTACAACGACTATGAGGCCTTACAGTGCCGCCGCTTTATCCAGCACCTCATAGTGCTAGGGATCGCTCCGCGCGATATCTGCGTTATCGCCTTTTACAGGGAGCAGTACCGCCAGATCAAGGAGCTGCTGGTCCAGCACAACCTCGACGTCGAGCTCACCACAGTGGATTCCGTGCAAGGACGAGAAAAAGAGGTTGTCATTTTGCTTACAACTAAAACCGATTTTTCTCCAGATTCCGCGGAATTCCTCAACGACTACCGACGTCTCAACGTAGCCGTATCTCGATGCCGCCACGGCCAGTTCATCTTCGGCCACGCCGACTCGCTTCGCACCGTGCCTAGCTGGAACACCCTTCTTCAGTGGGCCGCTTCGATCAACGCCATCGTCACCATTGATCAGCTCCCCGGATACCTTAAGCGCCCCTGAACCATATCTTCGGTGAGCCCGTTCCTTTTCCCTATTTTTTCTCTTAAAGTCCGGGACGGACTTTTGGTAAAGGGGGGAGGTGTAAGCCGCGCCATGCAAGTGCGCGTCATTATGTTTTGGTGTGACTCATCCTATGCTTTCAGGGCGTGGCGATGCGACCGAAGGAGCTATCGAGGAGTCGACCTCATCTACGGACCGAGGACGCTCGGGTCCTGCTTCTTCCATCTCTTGGGGCGATGCCCGGCCTACCGAGATCATGTTTCTAGTCACCATGTTTGTTGCGCCTTACCTTGCTTGTGCCTTCTCGCTATTTAGTTCTTTGTATGATTATACCTTGCCATTATCTCGATTGTCATGAGTATCGTGCCTACTGTTCCGTACATTGGATCTCGTACATATTAATTGTATATTTGATGTCATTAGGATAAACTCTTAGTAATTATCGGGACTAAGGCAGAAGCATGGCTTATCCACGTTTCACTGCGCGCGCAGCTTACTGGTAGCAGCGAGTGGTTCACCCCTCGCTGTGTCGAAAGGTAGGTCAGGTAAGTTTTTTCTGTGCCTCGCTGAGCTTCGCCGTTGCGGGATGGCCACTCGCTGGCGGCGGCTGGCCGGCGGTTTTGCACATGGAAAAACTTCGCCTTGCGGTCGGCTCGGGACAAAGACTATCGTACCCCGTTTAAATTCGTGTTTTGGTCAAAAGCCCTTTTGGCTTTCACTAAAAGTTCATCAGTTAACGTTCTTGTTTTAGGGCTCATGGAGCTTCATCCATGAGTCATATGGTACGGTAATCTTTGTCTCAACGATTTTTTTTGAGCGATAGCGCGCTTCCCTGGACGGGGGTTTAGTC